TTGGGGTACAGGGCGGGGGTTTGGGGGGCTCACCATCCTTGGCGAAGTTGCCCTTCATGAAGATGAAGCTGAGGATGACCATGAGGAGCCCCAACTTGGCCGTCTGGTTGTCCCTGTGGCAAACAGAGAAGTGTGTCACCCACCTCAGCAGGGCGGGGGACACTCTAAGGGGGGGATCAAATCACCCGGGGTCCCTCAGGCCTCACTGGCGCATGTTCTCCCCCTTGGCACGGGGCAGGTTGCTGGTGAGGATGTAGATGTGGTGTTTGGAGTCGATCTCTACCAGCTGCAGCCCAAATACCTGTGGGAGACAAAGGGTTAATCTAGCAGAGGGTCTCCCCGCTCCCCAAAAAACCCCCTCACACCCCTATGCCCCCCCTCACCTGCTGCAGGGTCTTGCCCGCTTGGTTGACGATCTCTGAGTAGACATCTTTGTATTCCCGGATGACTTTTTTCAGGATATCTGGTGGGGAAGGGAATCGCTGAGTGAGCCTGGAGGTCCCCAAGGGTTGTAAGGTTTTGGGGGTCCCAAAATTTTGGGAGGGTGCTCCCCTAAACTTACCCGCTCTCTTGATGGGGATCTTCTTCTGGTCTTTCACAAGCAGGTACTGAACCAATTCACTCACCTGTAAGGAGCGTGAGGGAAAGGCAAGAATTAAGTAATAGTGGAGAAACTAAAATATATTTCTCTGGGAGAGGAAGGAAAGGGGATGATCTCAACCCACCTTCTGATTCACTTGATCCTGAGAACGCCTCTCCAGGTTCCTCTGCACCTGGGTGTGCGTCGGTGTCGGGCTCAGGGTGAAATCCTCATCCTCATCAACTCCCTGTGGGGAAAAAAAACTAAGGAGATAGTGCACCAAAGCGAGATCCCACATCCCGGGAGAATGAGAAGGAAAAGAAGAGAAAAAAAGATTAAAAAAAAGGACTTTACTGGTCAACACATCTGCTTAATCTGTGGAGGAGGTGTGGGCTGGGTAAGTGAGCAGGCAGGCATGCTGGTGTGCTGCTGCTCTGGGACTTCTCGGGCTTCTCAGGGCTTATAGGCATCCACATAGGGACTGTACTAAAAGCTGTCCATCTAAGCATACGTAAACGTGTTTGAGGAGCTGGACCTTTCACAAAAACCTGAAGAGATCCTTTTGTTTTCTCTCCTGTTTGGGTCAGTCCTCCCTCTTCCCAACCCATAAGTTTAAACTAAAAAGAAAATAACTTGTTCCAGGCAGTCGAAGCTAGACCAGGTATTTTGATGTAAATGAATCTCGGGGGGGGAAAAAAAAAAAATAATCTATTTTAGAGATGAATCTGACAAGCCCTAAGGAGAGAATTGCTTTCGTCAGTTCCCACTGCACAGCTGGAAGATCATCCTCATCAACTCCCTGTGGGGAAAAAAACTAAGGAGATACTGCACCAAAAGGACATCCCACATCCCGGGAGGACGAGAAGAGAGAGAAAGAA